CTGGGCAAGCCGGGCGGCCAGCGGGCCCAGCACGTCAGCCCTGTGGACCTGACGTGTGGTTTTTCTCACTATTAGCTTTGGTGGCTTGGAAGTGAGACGGCAGCTGAGTTTTAAGTTGATTTCGTTTGTCTGTATTTCTAAAGTTTTTGAGGCAAATGTTACAGTAATTTGTTAAAATTTACTTACTCTTAAAAGTTAGGTATTTCAGGCCTTTGAATAATTATCTATAACAACATAGCAAGCATTCGTATACCGTTTACTAGTTTAAGTCAAAATTGCAGGTTAAGATTTCTTTCCGCTGATCCTCAACGCTCTATCAGGGAGCACTTTTAGCCAGTCTTTGTTTTAGTGTAAAGGGTTTGGTGCCTGAGGTGCAGAAAAGATTTTCCACGGGCGTTTTCATTCTGGAAGAATGGGAAGATTTGGATCATGAACATTTAAAGATGGCATGTGGAAGAGGAAGGCAGATTGCCGCCCCCACCCCCCTAGAGAGAGGGCGCCGAGTCCCAGTTATCCCTGTGCCTGTGCGGCGGTCAGGCCTGTGAGCGAGGGAAGGAGCAGCCAGGAAGAGCGCCACGCTGTGTTCTGATGACCCAGAATCCATTCTGTCTCCCCAGGTTGGGTCCGGTATGCTGAGCGGGTTCTGGGGAGCCCCATCACTCCCCACCTCTGCACTGCCAAGTCCCCCCAGCAGATCATGGGCCTGTTGGTGAAGGACTACTTTGCCAGACAGCAGGTAAACGGGCCTCTTCCTCCTGGCGGGGTCAGGGCCAGTCCCCTCGGCTGCACAGTGACCGTGTGTGTGGGGGAGGGAATGGTTGTTCCTGAGGGCTAATGGGGAGGTTCAGTGCAGCAAGGGTGAGGTGCTGCTGAGAAGGGAATGTGAGCCCACTGGACACGCCCAGAGCACCTGCAGCCCCCTGTCTCCCTCAGCCCTGCTTGCCCCTGTGCCCACGGGGCTGCAGCTTCAGGACAGAGGTGGCAGAGTTCCCATCGATACCACCTCTGTCTCAGGCTGCCATGAGGAAGGGTGGCCTGGGAGAGTCTAGGGGTGAATCAGCTGAAAGCCACTTTGTGGGGGCACACGCCACCACTTTCCCTTTCCCCACATCTCCTCGTCATGGCCATTAGGCTCGGAAGGAAAGGTGCTCAGTCCCCTCGTCCGCCCCGAGTCTCCGCAGGCCACCGCATTCCCCAATTCTCCTGTTGGTGTGGCAGTGAGGTGGACTGCTGCCCTGTGCTCGGAGCGGAGGGGGCGCCGGGGCCTGGCCACACTGGGAGGCGTAGGGACGCGCTCCTCCACCCACGCGCCGCAGGCGCGGTTTGTTTTGTTTTGTTTTGTTTTTCATTTTAAACATTTTTATTGGGGTGAAAATACATATGACAAAACATTCCCAGTTTGGCAATTTTTACGTGCACAATTCAGTGACATTGATTACATTCATCATGTTGTGCAGCCATCACTGATACCCTTTTCCGGAGTGTTCCACAACCATTGACAGAGACTAAGTGCCCCCTTTGCCCTTCCTCCACCCCTGGTAGCCCCTGATGATCTTTGATCTCCATACGTTTGCCTATTTCATGCAAGTGGGGTCACACAGTGTTTGTCCTTTGGCGTCTGACGTAGGTCACTCAGCGTAATGTTGTCAAGGTTCGTCCACGTTGTACCAGGATTTATTTCTCTTTACGCGCGGGTAATAATCCATCGTATGTATGTACCACAGTTTGTTTATCCATTCATCTGTTGGTGGGCATTTAGAGTTTTTCCACCTTTTGGCTGTTATGAACAGTGCTGCTATGAACATTGGGGGACAGGTCTCCCGTTCACTCTTCATCCCACTCCAGTATGTCTTCTGTCCCCACCTGTCAACCAGAAATGAAGTTTCCAGAGTCACCAGTTACCTCTATGTTGCCAAATCAAATGGATACTTTTTTGTCAGCAGTAAAGGCTCAACAGCCCTCATCACAGTTTCTTCCTCCCCCCTTGAGACACTCTCGGCTTCTGTGACACCACACTTTCCCGATTTTCATCTTAGCTCGCCAGTCTTTCTTTCTCCTTTACTGGCTGCTTCTCCTTTACCCTCCTACAAAGTTGCTGTACTGCCATAGGCCTCCATCCTATCCCCTCTTCTCTCTGGACTCTGACAGGTGACTCCTCCGTGCCCGTGGATTTCAGTGCTGCCTCTGTGCTGAACTCCCAGGTGTGCTTCTCACCTCTGGGCTCCAGTTTGGTACATCCAGCTGCCAACTAACCACCCCTGTAAGGCTCCTCTTAGCTTCTCCCCTAAGCCTGTTTCCCTGGGCTCCTCCAGTCTCATAGCAGTACCTTCATCCTCTCAGTTATTCAGACCAGAACCTGGAAGCCACCCCGGAGTAATCCCATCCCCTCTCCCTCACACCCAGTCCATCTGCATGTCCTGTCACTTCTACATCCCAGACATTTCTCCAGTCTGTCCACTGTTCCATCTCTGTGGCCTCACCTTTTCTGGGCCTCATCTTAGTTTCCTGGAACCGTGGTGGCGCAGTGGTTGAGAGCTTAGCTGCTAACCAAAAGATCAGCAGTTTGAATCTACCAGCCACTCCTTGAAACTCTAAGGGGCAGTTCCTATACAGGCGCCGATTTTGAGCCACCTGCATCACTTAGCCACCAACCCAACCACAGGCTTGCTCTTTCTTCACAGAACCTCTCTCCAGATAAAATCTTCCACGTCATCGTGGGCCCTTGCTACGACAAGAAGCTGGAAGCACTCCGAGAGGATGTCCACGCAGCCTCGCACACCTTGCAGGGTGTGGACTGTGTGCTGACGTCAGGTGAGTGCTGAGCCTGGACTCTGTGGGGTTAAGTTGCACAAAGTGCCCCCAGCCTCGCCTCTGTTCTCTGCGTCTTCCTCCAGATGTCAGGTCTCAGCTCGTGGCGGGAACACAGCTGTTCCTTAGAGATCCGCCGAGGGCGGGCCGTCGCATCGTCACCACTACCTGACAGGAGCAGTCGCGCAACCATGGAAGGTCTCCTTCTTAACAAACCCAGTTTGAACTTAGGAACCCCAGTAATGAGGAAAGTAAATAAATGTCCGCCACAGCAATGTTGCTGTTAATCGTGGCCCTGGTGGCACCTGGCTTGGACGCTGCAGTGAGCACCTGCAGCAGGACCTGTGCACGTTGGGGATGGACGGGGCTCCCTGGAATCACCAAGAGCTGTGCAGAAGAACTTTGAAACCAAACTGAGGGGTAGCTTAAGTCTGGTAAAACCAGGTGGATCTGTTTTAAACAGCTCTGAAAATAGGGTCCTCTCAGGTATCTTCACTGGTGGCAGCTCTGATTCCTCACCACCAGGGCCCCAACCTGGAGTGCTGGCCCATAGACGGCAGTGAGGGATTTCCCCTGCACATGTGCCAGCTGCCCTGTGGGGACAGGAGAGGAGGCAGTGAGGGTTGTAGAGGGAGCAGAAGTGTAGTCTTGGGGGGCCTTCCTCAGGAGAGTTCGTCTGCCACCGTTGGAAACATAACGTGTCCTGGGTCTTTCCGGAGAGCACTCATTGTGATTTTTCTGAGGGCAGAATCTGACAGGTTTTCAGTGGAGGTGCTCAGTGATCTTTGACCCCATATCTGACTCCATGGCGGTTGTTTCGGATGTTATGTTTTCTACTTGGGGTTTTACAGGGGCCCCGTGTAAAGGGAATTCCAGATGTGTGTCTGGTTTTTAACTGATCTCCTTGCTCAGTGACCACAGTCATCCTGTACACAGGAGGTGGTTTCACTCCGTGTCTCACCTGGGAAACAACACGGAGACAGGCTGGCATAAGCTGCTCAGCTCCAGGCCAGAAGGAGGAATTGGGCCTTCCTCTGCATTTCATTAGCGTCACTTTGCTAATGGGCTCCTGTGTCTCCAAGGAGACTGTGCACTGGGGAGGGTGCCCTGGCCACTGTCACATAGAACATGCTGTGACCCAGCTGCCTGTGTCCCCTCACATGAAACACGCTATGATGCAGCTGTATCCCCTCGCGTGGAACA